TCTAGTTAGGGGCAAGCGCCTAAAAAAAGAAAAAGAAATTAGAATAGCAAAAATGCTAAAGCCTCATGTCATGGCAAGAACTAGTCTTGACATGGGTGTAACCGGTGAGGGAAAAAACGTGGAGGAACCAATGAAATGAGCATAGACATACAAGTAGATAACGGGACAACGACGAGTACCGATAGCCCGCTTTTGGCTGCGGATAACGGACAGCAAGCAGGTACAGTGACTGCAAAAGATGCTCACTCAAACTCAAATTCAGACATTACTTTGTATCCCCACAATTTTTCCGGCGTTTACATTGTCTTAGTTGACTCATCCCAATGCAATGACATGATTGTAGTGCTTTCAAAAACTTATATTTTCGGTAAAGTTTTGTTCCAATTAAATTTTTAATGTTTAACAAAAATACATTTTTAACTATACAGCAAGATGAAAAAATTTGAAGTGAAGAAAAATTTTCATTTTGATTTCCATTTACAAAAATAACTTAAATCAAAAATTTTCAAAATTAACAAAGTTAAAAAATGAAGCAAGTATAATAAAAAGTATGAACCCTACAATGATAAACGATAGAATCACAAACGGCCTTACATTGTTTAACAAAATTAAAAATTTTAGAATTAAAGATAATGACTTGATTTTTGCTATTGGCAAGAGTCTTTATAAGGTCACCTTTAAAAATGCTGCTGCAGCCAACAATTTCGTCCTTAATGATAAAATAAAATATATTGGTCTCAGAGTTTTGTACCTAAAACGGCAGTAGAAACATACGGTGTAGCGAGGGGCATTCCGACATGGTGTGAGGAAGCGGAGATCAAGGCCGACGCCATCTCTAGCGTACCTATTACCACAGTCAGGCGCTTCACGCGTAGAAACCAGGATAACGAATCCTTTACTCCCACAACCACTGTCAAAATTGGATTCTCTGGAAAAGAAATACCCGAATTCATTATATTCAATTATACCAAGCATTACGTGGATTTCTACGTCCCACCCCTAAGGCAGTGTTTAAACTGCGGTAGGCTAGGGCATACTCAGTTTTCCTGCAAGTCTAAAAAATGTTGGATCAAATGTGGCCTTGTTACCTGTGATATCAACTCATGTGTAAAAAAATGCATTCTATGCGGCAGATTAGAGCATGTTTCTACTGACAAGCTCACCTGCTCGGCATGGGAAAAAGAACGTTCAATCAACTACATAAGAACAGTTAAAAAACTGTCCAGACGTGAAACAATAAAAACCTATTTCTCCGAGAGCCAAAATCGGTTTGACTTGCTCGCTACTGAGGACATAGATTTCCCGAAGATCTCTGAAAAGGCAGAGAATGTTAAAAATAGGGATTTGAATGTTAACAAAAAACTTACACGAGCAAAATACAGTACAATTGTACGCAAAACAATGCCAACTATCAAGGCACCAGTAGAACAAGCAGCCAGTAGGGAAAACCGGGTTAGAGCGCCCAGAGAGTATGTTCTTAATAAACCAGATTACCTTAAAGGGAAAGTTACTGAAATGGAAAAGCTTATCACTGAACTATTTAAAATTATTCAGAAGGTCTGTGCTGGCGAGCACTTTGGCGATGTTCTAGGGGAGGTACAAAACGTTAAGCAAAAATTTGATGAGGTTATGATTCAGGAAGATTTACATGCGATAAACAGGAAAACTAATCCCCTGGCCCATGCATAAAGTAATGAAGATATTGCAATACAACTGTCAGTCCTTAAAATCCAACATAAATACCATAGAGTACTATTTAAACCATTACGATTACGATCTTGTATGTCTAAGCGAAATTTTCACTTGTAACGAACCACAACATAGGAATATTATAAATTATAATATAATAGAGAAAAATAGATTTGATGGCTATGGCGGCGTCGCCATAGCTCTGAAAAAAAACAAATTAAATTTCATAAAATAAACTACATAACTGATGCTGATGTCTTAATTATTAAGACTAAAAATCTAAAGCCAAATCTTGTTGTTTGTGCTGTTTACTTTCCCCCAAGCGTACTCACTAATGACTTCAAAAACGAAATACCCAGGCTCCTTTCATTTTTAGAACACCAAGAAAACGTCCTACTACGCGGCGACTTTAATGCCAGGGCGAGAGTGTGGGGTGACCAAACTCAATCCTGTAGAGGCAACAATAACAGAACAGAATAATATCTGAACACAATTTTTGGCACTTAAATTATGGCTCAATTACGTTTAAAAATGATACCTTGTCTCCTAATGGGTCAGTGCTTGACCTGTCATTCACAAATAGCTCGATCCCTTTTTCCCTATCTCTATAGAAACCACTATGGTCACCCACTAAGGACATAGGTTCCTGGCTCAAAAAAAAAACTACTTGATAGTTTACAGAAAACCATTCTTGAACCAAATTTTTACGACATACACCCGCAACTCCAAACTGAAATTGAGGCAGCCACATACACTCTCAGCCCGAATAGAAGTCCAAAAGCCTGGTGGACTGACGAGCTTGACAAAGCCTTCCGCTTTCTCAAAGCAGCATACAAAAAATGCAAATTCTCACCCTCATATAAAATGCTAAAAGCTTTACCTGATGAATCTCTCAATAATGTGCGAACTGCCCTAAACGATGTCTTTCTAACCAACCAAATCCCTGATAAGTGGCGCGTGATAAAAATAGTATCAATCCCCAAGAAGGACAAAGATTTAAATGATTATTCTAACTTCAGGCCCATTGCCTTAATCTCTGTATTTTTAAAATCCATTAACCTATGTATCAAAGATAGAATTTCCACCTTTCTTGAGGACAATAATACGTTACCCAAACACTCCTTCGTATATAGGAAGCACAGGTCAGCCACCATATGCGTCAACTATATTTTACATGAAGCAGCAGTTCTTAAAAAACAGGGTCGTAAAGTCATTGTGTGCGCCTCTGACATCAGCAACGCATATAACTGCGTTAACATTAGTAAACTAAAAGTAGTCATTGGCTTGCACAATGCTTATACGGAATGTATAATCAACTTCATAGCTCATAGAAAGCTACTACTTGGTAAAGATTCCATCGAAATACACTATGGACTCCCCCAAGGTAGTTGTGTCTTGCCTTGTCTCTTCAATTTATATACAAAAGATCTACATTCCATCCAGGATAGCAACACCAAATTGTACCAGTTTGCGGACGATTTCTTAATCATGTCGTACCATAACAGCCTTGAGCAAGCCACTGCAAATTTGAGGCACAAACTAAATGACTTTGCGCAACTATGTTCAGATCTAAACCTCTCCTTCAATGCTGACAAAACCAAAGTTATGCATCTATGTAAGGGCAAACGTACATCTATCGAGATTCAATGCCAAAATCAAGTTATTGAGCAGGTCCATTCTATTAAATTTCTAGGTAGGAACATCAGTTCATCACTATCGGTCCAAGAACACTATACAGAAGTAATTAAAAAATCACAGAATAACTCTAATCTTTTTAAATGCCTTACCACAGTTAAGTCCGGACTACATCCACAAATTGCTCTGAACTACTATAAATCAGTTGTTCGGAGCAAGATTGAATATTGTCGTACGTCCACTTCAAATTGCTCTAAAACCGTCAATAGGAAGATTCAAACCTACCAAAATAGTTTTCTAAGGAGAAGCCTCGGCCTCACCCCAGCAACCCCTATCCCCATAATTTATGCGATTGCAAACGAATTGCCACCGGCAGAAAGGGCTAAATGGCTAACAGCCAAAGAACTAATTAACAATTTCATTGTTGACAAAGAGTTCAGTGAACATATGTACAACTCGCACAATGTGAATTCTAGTTATAGTGCGGTCTTTAATGAATTTAGGAATGTCTTTGATAACCTTTGTATTGTAAGAGAATCAGTCACTGCCCCTAATCTACATGTTATCACCAAAACGCTAACTGGAAAAAAAAACTAATGTAACTACTGACGAGATAAAATCGACTTACTGGGCGATGGTAAATGACTACAGAAACTCTAATTTCTGCATTTTTTTCACAGACGCTTCTGTAGGCCCTACGACCACTGGGTGTGGAGTCTACAACTACACTAACAAAGATGAACATACATTCAATGCGTAGTTCAACGGAGCTTCATCTGCCTCGGGAGACGCGCACCACACTTGCACAACTTCGCTCCGGCTACTGCAGCAGGTTAAACTCCTACCTGAGTAGGCTGAATGAGGATGTGCCTAATGAATGTCCGGCATGCGGAGAGACCCCACATGACTCGAAACATCTCTTCGCATGCCCGGCAAACCCGACATCCCTAACGACCTTGTCCTTATGGGCAAACCCCGCAGAAGCTGCACGCTTCCTAGGGTTACCGTTAGTGGAACTTGACGACAACGACTGAGATACCAACCGATCTGGGCGGGGTTGTTGTAGCCGCTACAACAACAACAACATACATTCAAAATCAATTTTAGTGCCTCATCTACCTATGGCGAAACCATAGCTATTCTCAACGCGCTTCAATTGGCCAGAGAATCAGACTATAATAAGGTCCTAATTTTTACCGACAGCCTTATCGCCTGCAAATTACTGGCCAAAAACAACACTCAGAACTACTATATCCTTGAAATACACTAATTAATTGAAAATTCTGACTTTTTTAATGTTATCGTCATCTGGACGCCCAGTCATTTTGGCATTCCAGGCAATGAAAAGGCTGATTCTCTGGCAAAAACAGCCGTTAACTGTGATAATAATTTAAGTGTTAAGTTTACCATAGATGAGGCTCTAAGAAACATCCACAATCATATTCATAACCGATGGTACAACGATTTTATCAACTTCTCCCACACCAAACACAACCTTTTCGCCCAAATTTTTACACAGAAGCCACAAAAGACTTGGTTTTACAAATTCGGCTGCATTTTTAGTTCTCCCATAGCTGAACGGTTGGTCATCTTGATGTTTTCCAAATCGAGGAAAAACAGGATGCACATATGATTCTTTTACTAAGGTATGTTTATAAACTTTTAATATTACTCACCGTGCTTCTCCTCGCTTTGTTTTTTAGATCCATATTTATTAAAAACACCAAAGCACTGAATATTAGTAAAATTTGAATAGCCTAGAAATGAACCTGTTTATCGATATTCGATTATTAACGTCTAAACGGCTATGGTATTATACATATAGGGTCCTGTCACACGGTTAGTAATTATCACGATCTTTGGATCACGATCCATATTGATGGATTGATGGATCGCGCACGAATGCTACATGCTCAATATTTATCGCGTCAGTATTTGCGTAATTTTTGTGCAGAACGCTTATTATGATGCAAGATAATATTTTTACTGGGAAAATTTTAGTTTAGCATCCCCCGCGTACAAAAAAAAAGGTGTCTGTGGGGGGTAAGGGGAGTTCTCCTGATTGCAAATATATACACTTTTAGCCGCAGGAGGCTTATAGTTTTTAAGTTATTTGTTGTAAAAGTTTGTAAATTGAACTAACCTCTCGGCGCTATTTCACACAATAAACACTATATTTATGTACACACTCCGGCAAAATAGTTGCATTAAAACCCCGCACAATAAAATGTAAACATATTTTTTACATTTATGATGTTTTTTTAGTAAATTAAATAAGCTTTTATAATTATCACGCACTTATATATGTATACTCACATTGTGAATACAGAACTGTTGATTGAACCATGGTTTCACACTGACATTAGAAGAGTGCTGCCACATCTAAGAAAAGAGAAAGAGAAAAGAGAATAGTTTTTATCGTACCCATTTTCCTGCTCAGCGTTGAATTAGTAGTAAAGGAGGGTATGGAGTTAAACACCCCCAATATATAAAAAAAAAAGTCACGCGCTGCAGGCGAACATTTTTAATTAAAAAATCGCGCGATTTTTATTACAAATTTTCATTATTTATCGAAGTATTGATTTTTATTGAAAAAGCGCCGCAGGCTAAAATTTTTAATAAATAATCGCGCGATTTTTTATTAAACATTTTCATTATTTATCGAAGTATTGATTTTTATGGGAAAAGCGCCGCAGGCGAAAATTTTTAATAAAAACTCGCGCGATATTTTATTAAACATTTTCATTATTCATCGACGTATTGATTTTTATGGAAAAAGCGCCGCAGGCGAAAACTTTCATTATTAGTATTTTCATTATTTATCAAATTATCGATGTACGTTTTCTACATTAGTGTACTTTGAACTACAATAACACCAGTAAATATTATTTCCACCCGAAAAAAATTATACCGTTATGATCAGGAGTAAGACCCCTATCGATCCTAATATTATAATTTTTAATAAGAGCAATGTATGTACATACGTATTGTACACTTATACTCCCTAATTATACGCACTTATTTGTGGTGTATTTTTTTTTTAACGTATGGTAGCATACATTTTGTGTTACTGTCAGCCATTGTTATTTCTGCTTGTTTATGAAATGTGCAAACGTTTGTGAACATATTTATAAACGCGTTTTACTTAATTAAATAATTAAGAATTGTATATTGAAGTGGAAATCTCAGGCCGGGGTTTTAATAAAACTATTTTGCCGAAGTGTGTACATAAATATAGTGTTTATTGTGAGAAATAGCGCCGAGAGGTTAGTTCAATTTACAAACTTTAACAACAAATAACTTAAAAACTATAAGCCTGCTGTGGCTAAAAGTATACATATTTGCAATCAGGAGAACTCACTCTCCCGTTCCATAGCTACCTTAATGCGGAACTCCGGGGATGCCAAACTAAATTGCAGCCATTAATTGTAGCTTGTAACTTTAAAATTTGTTGTGGAGAGAAAAAAATTGTAGCTCTCGTTTTTTAAGAAAAAATGGTATGTAGTGCTAACTTGACACCATACACCAAGTCGATAGAATTGAGATATCCAATATGTTACTATGCCATTAATTGTAGCTTTTAACTTTAAAATTTGTTGTGGAAAGAAAAAATTTGTAGCTCTCGTTTTTTAAGAAAAGTGGTATGTAGTGCCAACTTGACACCATAGATAGATAGATAAATAGTGGTTACGTATGGCACTGCGGCCAGTAGGTCTATTGTGCCCCTAGCTCATCACAACAAATCAACCAGCCCCAGAGTGTCTATAAATTTCATAATAGACCCCGGGGACAGTGAGTGTATGTGCTCCTCTCTTGGCCAGACGTGCCCTATGCTCCTATTCCTCCTGCGTGCAACAGCCTCACATTCCATAAGAAGGTGTAGAGGAGTCTCCTTGGCTACATCGCAAAAGCGACACAGGTCGCTGGACCAGATATCTAGTTTATGCAGGTGCCCTCTGAGCCTACAATGGCCCGTCATAAAACCTGTAATAATTCTTAGTTTCTCTTTTGGGAGATCCATGAGAAGCCTGTATCTTGACAGATTGTAACCTCCTTATAAGCTTTTTGCCTGAGGTTGGCCCATTTTGCCAAGCCAGTGCAGTTCCCTCTTCTGCTGTCCCTTCTGAGCATTTCCTTTATGGTGTTGGGTCCTACTGCCAAAAAGGGCTCAGGTCCTATCGGGGTCGAGAAAGCACCCGTTCTGGCCAGATTATCAGCTTCTTCGTTTCCTGCAACCCCCATATGCCCTGGTACCCACATTAGTTGGATATCATTGACCTCCGCCAGAGCATTGAGCCTCTCGACAAACTCCCAAACCAAGGAGGACTTGATCTCGAATGCTGAGAGGGCCATAAGTGCCGCCTGGCTATCACTTAGTATAAGTATCATTTCATTCCTATAGTTCCTGTGAATGTTAATCTCAGCGTACATACTGATGGCATAGACCTCCGCTTGAAAGATGCTAGGGAAAGTTCCCAGGGGCACCGAAAGCTTCAGCCTAGGGCCGTACACGCCTGCTCCAATCCCCGCGGGTGTTTTAGAGCTGTCAGTGTACCACTGTATTGTGCTCGCCTGTATGTGACTCCATAATAGAGGTACACCAGGTCGCCTTGTTGTAAGTGATTGTCCTGAAATTTCTCTTGAAGACCACCTCTCTGTTAATATCGTCCCTGGGGCACAAAACCAGGAAGAGCTGGGTACCTAGCTTGTCCCTGTTTCTGGATGATAACACCTTGCCTTTGCCGAAGCCCTCTCTCGCAAAGTTAAGGAGGTTTCGCTTTGCAGCCTCTTCAATTGAGATATGCAGTGGCTCGAGCTCCAGCATTACCTCGAGCGCTGCCGTCGGGCATGTGCGCATTGCTCCCGTAATGCAAACACATGCCAGACGTTGAATCTTGGAGAGAGTCTGCCCCACCGTTCCCATAGTAGTCCTGGAATACCAAGCCACCGCACCATAAGTCACTATTGGTTTCACTATCATGGTGTACATCCATCCAAAATTTTCATTATTTATCGAAGTATTGATTTTTATCGCGATTTTTTATTAAAAATTGTCATTATTTATCGACGTATTGATTTTAAATCGCGCGATTTTTTATTAAAAATTTTCATTATTTATCAAATTATCGATGTACGTTTTCTACATTAGTGTACTTTGAACTACAATAACACCAGTAAATATTATTCCACCTGAAAAAAATTATACCGTTATGATCAGGAGTAAGACCCCTATCGATCCTAATATTATAATTTTTGATAAGAGCAATGTATGTACATACGTATTGTACACTTATACTCCCTATTGTACGCATTTATTTGTGGTGTATTTTTTTTAACGTATGGTAGCATAAATGGAGTGCGATGGGGTATAGTCATTGCGCTGGGTATGCAGTTACAGTTGCATGGCTATACTCAATCCCGACTCTTGCGTCCTCGTTCGCGCACTCTGGGCAACGTGAGCAACCCATGTGCGAGATGCGGTAACCAATCCGAGTGGAGCCTTGGGTCACGGCAGAAAGAGAGGGAGCTTCGGTGGGGCCACTCTGACTTATTCGGTTTAAGGGCTCACTGAAGTCTGCAGCGTCTGTTCACCAGTAGCTGCGGCTGCAAGCTGGTGTCTGCTTGGAGCAAGCGGCTCGCTATATAAACGTGTATTTGGTTGCGAAACCACCCCCGTCCAAGAAATGCGTTGGACGGGGCAAGGCAAACAATGTCTGGGGCCTAGCGACGTCTACTACAGCTGCCATGTAAAGGAGCGCAAATTCGGAGTTGGATTTGTGGTGGGAAAGAGACTCCGTCGCCGAGTACTGTCGTTCACCCCGGTGGACGAGCGTCTAGCCACAACCCGCAACAAAGCGGGATTCTTCAACATCTCGCTCATCTGCGCCCATGCCCCGACGGAAGAGAAGGATGAGGCATCCAAGGATGTCTTCTATGAGCGCTTGGAGCGCACGTACGAGCGTTGCCCCCGTCATGATATCAAAATCGTGCTTGGCGACTTCAATGCCAGGGTGGGCAAAGAAGGGATCTTTGGAACCACCGTCGGAAAATTCAGCCTCCACGACGAAACGTCCGACAACGGATTGAGGCTGATCGACTTCGCCGGGGCCCGAAACATGGTAGTATGCAGTACTAGGTTCAAGCATAAAAAGATCCATCAAGCTACCTGCCTGTCTCCGGATCGAAAAACGAGAAACCAAATCGATCATGTTGTGATAGACCGAAGGCACGCGTCCAGTGTTTTAGACGTACGCACACTCCGAGGCCCAAACATCGACTCGGACCACTATCTTGTTGCAGCCAAGATACGCACCCGCCTCTGTGCAGCAAAAAATGTGCGCCCAAATATGCAAGGAAAGCTTAACGTCGAAAAGCTGCAATCACAACAGACGGCCAGCGCTTTCGCTACTCGACTCTCACACCTGCTCTCAGAGAGCACTCTTCAACAAACCGACATATGCGAGCAGTGGAACCACATTTCCCGCTCATTAAGTACCGCCGCCGAAGTAGTCGGATTTCAGCGAGCCCGAAAGAACAACTGGTACGATGAGGAGTGTCAGGAAGCTGCAGAGAAAAAAGATGCCGCCTACAGGGCCACGCTGCGATCGGGCGCAACGCGCGCTATGTGGGACCGCTATAGGGATCTGAAGAGGGAAGCGAGACGTATTTGCCGCAACAAGAAGAGAGAGGCAGAAATACGTGAGTGCGAAGAGCTTGAAATGCTCGAATTTTTACCAGAGAGTTAGGCGACTTACGGAAGGTTTAAAGACCGGGGCGCACTCCTGTAAGAACA